ATGCAGTGAAGAAAAGAAACTTTTCAACAAGTATTGCTGGAACAATTAGATAGTGATACGCACACAAAAAAAAAAAAACCAAAAAAACATGAACTTTGATCCACACCTCACAAAATATACAAAATTTAACTCAAAATGGATCATCGATCTTAATAGGAAATCTAAAACTATAAAACAGCTAGGAGAAAAAGCATATGCTTAAGCTTTATGACTGGGTTTGGCAAATATTTCTTTGCTATGACACCAAAAGTATAATCTATTTTAAAAAGAAACTGATACAGTGGACTTTATCAAAATGAAGACTCTTCAAAGCTCTTCTAAACACTGCTAATCAAATGAAAAGATAAGCCATAGACAGAAGTTATTTGCAGATCAAATATCTGATAAATGTCTCTCTTTGTATCTGATCCAGAATAAAGAGGTCTCAAAATTCAATAATAATGCAAACACCTGAATGAAAGAATGAAGCCAGGAAACACAATTCAGTAAAGATATCCAGATGGATAATAAGCATATGAAAAAATGCTGATTAAAGATGCCATTAATCATTAGAGAAATGCCTTTAAAAACCACAGTGAGATCCTAGTTCACATACATACAAGAATGAATACGATTAGAAAGACTGAATTTACAAAGTGCTGGCAAGGAAGTAGAGCAACCAGAACTGATACACACCACGAGGAATTTACAATAGTACAACCATTTAGGAAAAGTCTTTAACAGTATCTTTAAAAAAGGTAAATGCCTATCTACCATATAACCCAGACATTCCTCATCTGGTGTTTTAGAAAAGAAAAGCATATGTCCATACAAAGACTTGTAACCAAACATTCACTGCAATTTTATTTATAATAGCTCAAGTTGTAAATAACCCATGCATCCATCAAGAAGTAAATGGAGAAACAAATGATGGTCTATACAAACACAGCTCACAATAAACTATTCAGTAAAAACTCAGCACTAAACAATACTCTGCTATAAGACAAATAAGCTATTAATACAACAACACAGATGACTCTCAAAATAATTACACTGAATGAAAGAAGTCAGACAACACAGAGTAGATACTGCATGAATCTACTCATACAAGGATCTTGAAAATGCAAACCAATATGTTGTGATAGAAAGCAGATCAATGGTTTCCAGGGGAAGAGATGGGGAGGGAGGGAGGGAAAACAAAAGGCAGAAGAGAAGCTTTGTGGGTGATGGGTATGTTCACTGTCTTGAGTGTGGTCATGGTTTTTGGGGATATACTTATGTCAAAATGTATTAAGCTGTACACTTTAAACGTGTGAAAATTATTTTGCCAAGTATACCCCAAAGCTGTTTTAAGAAAAAAGGCACTTCAGGCCTGATTCACCTCAGCGCCTGATGTAGTGACATGATCAGTCCCTCACCCTGTCTGCCTAACGGGAAGGTAGAAAACCTCTCACGGAAGGTAACATATGGATTTTTCATTTGCAATGTCTGCCATGTAATAAAGAATTTCTAGACATGCAACATGTCAAGACTATATGACGGATAATATGAGAATAAGAAACATTAGACAAAGGATGCAAACCTCCAGGTGATGTAGGCATCAGGGTTACCAATAAAGGCTATAAAATACTTTTAATATATTCAAGAATATAAGGAAATGATGGGAGAATAGATAACAGGGTAAAGACTTTCACCAGAGAAATATACTGGAATGTATTTTTAAGAAAAATCTAACAGATACTCTAGAACTGAAGCTTTCAGATCTGGAAACAGGTAAACAGAGTTAATTAAGATCCCTTTTAAGTAAAACTTTCAGTAATGCCGGATAAAATACAACAACAAAAGTAACACAGAGCTAACTATGGAGAGAGAAGTTCCCAGGTGACAATACACAGGGGACACTTAAAGCCCAGAGTGGTAATCTTGTGAGCTGATGCCTCCGCACCCTGGAGGCAAGGGGTTTTAATCTGCACATAAATAGGGATACAATGTCCACTTAGGAAAAAGGGTCCATACCAGATGTAGAAGACTCCTCCTTTATATCTATATAGTCAGAGACAGAGATGTAAAGTGGCAGCAGAGGTCACAGTGACACAGGGCCCTGGGCCAAGGAGTGTGAGCACCTCTGCAAGCTGGGAAAGGTAGGAAGACGAATCCCTCCCTAGAGCCTCGGTGTGGAACTTAGCCTTGTCCACACGTTGGTTTTAGCCCACGGACATTGACTTTGCACTTCTGCACCCTAGAACAGTGGGAAGATGAATGTGTATTGCTTTAAGCCACTGAGTCTGTGGTCCTTTGTTACAACA